AGCAGTGACTTAGCGCATGCCAGACCCCCTTCGAACGATCTCCTACCCAATGAGGTTCGTGATCCTTCTTCGACTTTATGTCCAGCAGAATGAGAGCCAACGCCCGGTCCGTGAGCTGACTGTCGGGCTTCGAGCTATTAGGGTCCAGGGGTCCAGTGTGCTCCAACAACTCCGGGATGGCCGTGAAACCTCCCTCATCGTTCCGGAACGGTTTGAGAGCGTTCTTCACTTTTCGCGAGTACGCTCCCGAGTCACGCGAGTAAAGTTTTGACAAGCTGTCGATGACTGGGCCGTTGTAGGACTTGCGTCTGGATCGTTCCGACCAGGCTGTCCCCCCATCCACATAAGGCGGCTACGGTGCGCGCAGCTCTCGAATAAACGAAAAAAGCCGAAGTAGCCCCAGGTCTCGATACAAATACTCAGGAACCAGACGCGTGCGACTACTGCCGCCATCTTAGCCTTGCGCCGCTGAGTCTGAGCGTTGATGGTCCTCAACGGAACGTTCGCCTGCCAATCCCAGAACTTGGAACGGTTCTCATTCCAGAAACGCCAGTGAGAAGCGTGCACGTGCGGGTACTCTTGCGGGTTGTATCATAAGTGCGAGCCCGGCCACGGATACGCCAGCTGGTACGGTTCTTGACCTAGCTCGGCCGCCTCGTAATAAACCCGTTTCAGATCATCGACTACGGGAGAAGGAGTCGTGTCCGACAGCTTGAATGGTAACGCGAACGAAGACCACGGGTGACTCGGACGCTTCTTGCCGGAACGAGGACTCTCCGTAATCGTCTTCCCCTTAGTCGAGCCAGTGCTGATGCTCTTGAGCGGAAATCGACCGTCCTGCGTGAAGCGTGGGTGCCGAGGCGGCTTCCCGCGAGTCGGTTGCCGAGGTGGCATGATAACTACCGGCCCCGTCAAAGCGTCCGAAGTTTTCCCCGTGTCGTCCAAGATCGCGGCGGCGAGGTCATCCAGAAGCTTGAGGCCGACGGAGCTAGCATTTGCGGCTAGGACGTCTCGCATGAGAATCCAGAAGCGCTCGTCGGCCGGAGTGTCATCAGAAGAAGAGCCGTCGGAGTCCGAAGACTCAACGTTCCAGACGGCCTTGAGTCGGCGCGGCGCCGCTCCGCGCGAGGTGCCCATACTGGGGTGATGAAGAGAGCGGGTGTCGAGGGTAGCGTCTGAGGGCGGGGCAAAATTGCCAAATGAGCCGGAAGACTGCCCGTCGGTACCTGGACCTCCGGCCCTGTCTCTCCCGAGGCTCCTGTGATAACTGTATATTGGGTGCAAGAGAGGCTCCTGAAAAGGACGAAGAATCGGAGCTCTCCTTTCCCAGCTACTGGACTTGACAGATGGAAAGCGACTAAGACGGGTGGGGGTCGAACGACGTCGAGAAGGGTCGCTCCGGGTGTACTCAGTTTCTTATTTGCCGAGTGTTCTCTCATCTAAATGGAACCTCACGCTAGCGTTTTCTACGAGTACGCCCGCTGGGAGCTGTGGCCCGGGTACGTAGGAGCCGTAACAGTCTGGGTCCTAACGACTTCTCTACGTAACGTTACCTGGGAGTTCCTGGTCCAAGTGTGACGTGTGGTCAAGATATACTGCGATATCTGGGGCGACTGTGCGTCGCTGTACCGAGACGTACTTCAAGCTAACGGACTTCGACAGCTTCGGGGTGCTACCTACGCGTATGGAGTATGGAGTGCGCTATTCGCTGTGCCTCCTATTGTTCTACTCAACGGAGAAGAGAAGAATGGTCGTTATGGACGGATGTTGCGGAGTTGGTGGATCGCCAGCAAGGTAATATTCTCCGACTACATCCCAGAAGTCCTCCTCCGTACAAGAGATTCGAGCATACGCTATTGGTACGCTTTCTGGGACGCTCTCAAGGCCACCTGCATGCGCCTGTACGCGGTGGAAGAAGCCACCTGCTGGCTGGTACTACTATGCCTGTCCCTGCTGCTGTACATCCCGGTCAACGCCTTTGATCTGGTGGAGTTCGTACTCCTGGGACCTGTGGATGTGGGGACTGTACTATTGCTCCTACTAGCTACCAACTACTGCCTCGAGTGGACCGGCTGGAGTCTCGCCGACACTCTTGTCGTGGTGGTCGCCGGTGTGGTATCTCACGCTTGTCGTCAATACGACGAGGGAAGCCCCCTCAGAACTGTCTCCCCTAAGTTACTGGTCGAATTAGCTTTGACAAGTACCCGCCGAAACGCTTCCCAGCGTAGTATGGTCGAAGCCCGGAACATCGAACGTCTACGGGTCGACGACGACGTTGAAGAGTTGTATGACTTTCAAGCCGCCGACCCTGACTACGTCGAGGACCGCCCCGAGGACTACACTGAAGCGTTCCAGCCTCCCCTGTCTGACGAAGCTACTAACGACGGAGTCAATAGGACTAACATGAGAGATGTACGCAGAGGATCCTTTCGCCGAGGACGACAAACGACAAGTTGGGGAGGATGTCCCGTACCCGGGAACGGAGGGGTCATTCCAGGAGCTCTGTCTCCCGTCGGGATGACTCGAGGCCCTGGAGTCACTCCTCGTCCGGCCGTCCCGTCAGGGTGGTTCCCGTTGAGCCCGACAACGCACGTGCCCCTGACCGAGCCCGTTAGGGTGGCCCTATAAGGAGGCCCCAGAGCGCCGGTGTCTTAGCGTCGTGGGACCAAAGCACCTCGCGTCATCAAGCCCCTTCTCAGAAGCTCTCCGTTGTCCCACGAGGGCTGACAACAAACGAAGTCACTTCCTTTTTTTAATAAGAAGTAGTGTAGTGTATGTAAGGTCGAGAAGGTGTTAGACCTCTCTTCCGGTTAGATCTCAGTCTTATATTTCCCTCCTTCTACTCAAGAGGAAGCCAAGCCACTCAACAAACTTTTTATTTCAACTCTCTAGTGTTCCTATCTACCGTTCCTGCAGCCACTGAACAAGACCGTACTCCCTGAACAGCCGCGGACTACCCGACCCTTGAAGGAAGAGGAGGTATACGACATCACTCGCTTGTTGTTCGCTATTGAAACGCCACTCTAATTCATCGTTTAACATTTGAAATACTCAATTTTACTCCTCGTGCGTCTTGAGCTCACAAGACAAATGCTGCACAGAGCGTCTTGTAAGTTTCAAATTGTAACGAAGAATCGATCAAGGAAATTATTAGATTTCAGAAAATCCATCATGGTAACAGTACATGTACGAGTCTCGTTCGCGATTGTCGGCTTCGTCTGTGTCGCCGTAGGTGCAGCAAATCCAGCCGGTGGAGGTGTTCAGTGTCCTCCTTGTCAAGTCGACGGTCGAATTGATCAGGATTTGGTGAATCACCAATGGTGATCTGCTCAACATGTCAAAATACATGTACATGTAGTAAGCGCCATCGATGGCACGTTACTGCTCATCGGGGAGTTCCACCATTGCACCCACGAGTCGTGTGCCACGACAGAGGTGTCGCTATCTACTGTAAAAAACAATTGTCTCGAATCTCGTGCGTCCAGACTCTGGTCTTTATTAAGCACGTGTGTGCAGTATTTTCTGCATCGTGGCAATCCAGACAATCCCCTCCATAGGCATACAAACTAGTTTTCAAGAGCAAAACTACTGGGTACTCAGTGAGTACTACTCACACACTTGCTCAATTGAGCTACTTTTTAGTTTAAAAAGTGCAAGTACACGTATTAAATAGTTCTTAGCTTAAAACAATGAGCCGTTTAGGCCCTGGTCTATTAATAAGTAAACATGTTTGAGAATAGCAGAAGGGGTCGGGTTGGATCAGAGGTGTATTTTGGATTTGGCTCCGAGACAAGTGTCAGGTCAGGACGAGTTCTCAGTGTTTGAAGCCGGTGTATAAGTACGTGAAGTGCGATGCAGTGTATGAAAGCAGAACACGATCTCATTTCCGCTCAACCCCAATGGACTCACACGACTTTAAAAACTTGCTCACACCGGCCAACCCGCGCCCCACGATGGAATTGCTCGGCTTCCGATATTGCCATCCATTTTGACAAGCTGACTTACTGTCTAATAATGTGTGAACCAAGAAAGCAAAACACAGAGTGGGCACTTGGAGTGGAATATACTGTGGCAGAGACAGCAAACTCGTTTCGACTTCAGAACACCTCCACAAGGTGCTCTGAGAACCCCGCACAGAACGGTATAAACTCGGAACGCGTACCGAGAGTCGCTCTGCTCTCAGCCAGTCCAATAACAGAATTTTCAGAACGAGTTTCTCTACTTAGACGGCCAGACTGAATCGCTGAAAATAAACTTGTGCATCTGAGTCTCCTGCGCACATAGATCAGGTGTGCTTAAGTAGGAGGAATAGGCATGTATGTGTTTGTTGTACATACCGATAATATAGTGCTTATCCAGCAGGTGCATTATCCCAGCTTGTGTTTTGCATATTCTAACTAAAGGGATTGCCAGTTCCGTCGGACCACACAATTTTAATCAATCGAAACTGTAGGACAAAGATTAAAACCCATATGATCGCAGATCGCAGCTGGCTAATTTGCCACGAGTTTTGCAGCAAAACTTTTGCTGTGTGCACTGTAGCTAAACGATTTTGACGCTTTGTTCGGACACCAAGCTGTAGCGCAAATCCGCCACTGCAGGGTTTATTCGTGAAGCAGGATGCCGTTGCCAAGTGAACCTCGTGTTCGTTCAAAAAGGTGGCTCAAAACTTGTTTAAATATCTGCCACCTTCCTGTCGCGAGATTTGTATCGCGCTTCTTCCGTTCGAAGCTATTCGACGAACTTCGTTTGAGGATTGGCATGGCAACTGTCAGTCGGTAATCTTTCACAAATTAAAAATCCAGCCAGTGCAACCGCAAATTGAGTGGCAACATCTCGTCTGTCACTCCCGGTTGGTGGAATTGCAGCTTGTGTTTGGTACACGGTGCCGGTATCCATCTGCCTGGGCTTTCGGCTGTTAAAAAAAATGTCGCGTTAAAGAGCAGATCAACAATTCCATGCCGCACAGCCCTGAACCTTTGTCATTCCAGAATCCCCCTCCTCGGGCTGCAAGGCCATCAGAGATAACCGCAAAGCAGTCTACCGTCACTGTTTAGTTCCGATGCAGCTCGTACGATATGCCGCTGTATGCAGCCTGGCGCTGTTGTGGACAGCTTCCGTTGAGGCCACAAATGCCACAACGTACCCGACCAGGTCGGGCATCGGGACGTGGGTCGACCCGGACACCCCCAAGGACAGATACGTGTACACGAGCTCACGTGGTCGACGATGGGATCTCGTCATGAGCGACGAGTTCAACGTCGCCAACCGCAGCTTCCGTGCGGGCGACGACCACATTTGGACGTCTCTCGAGAAACCCGACGGTGTAAACGGTGCTCTTGAGCTTTACTCGCACAACATGACCTCTACAAGGTGCGATGACGACGGGACGTGCTACTTCTATATCAAGACCATCGACGAGAAGAACACGATCCACGTCTACAACATGTACACCCACCCACCCAGCTTCGAGGACGTCTACTTCTGGTACCGTGGCGCAATGGTACAGTCGTGGAATAAATTCTGCTACCAGGGCGGTATGCTCGAAGTGCGGGCGCAACTCCCTGGAGCTGTCAGCGCAAAGTCCGGAAACCCCGACCGAGATCTTGGAGCGACTGGTAAAGTCGCCAACAACCAGTACTACCCGACATGGCCCGGTGTTTGGATGCTGGGCAACCTCGGACGTGCCATTTTCTCGGCGTCGACCAACCGGATGTGGCCGTTCTCGTACAACCGATGCGACGCCGACGTCTTTGACCCAAGTTTCCAACGTATCAGCGCATGCGATGACAAATAACGGGGTACGGTCTCAACCCGAATCAAGGGCGCGGAGCTCCAGAGATCGACGTG